GGGGGGGGGGCACCGGCCCCATCAGGAGGGGCACGTGCACCCCCATGCAGCCCCTACCAGTCGCCTATGGCTTTGTAAAGGGCAAATGTTCAGTCCAGTACCTCAGTGCTTCCCCACCAATGAGACTGCCAGTAAAAGTGTTACATAGGGCTTGAATGTTATTTTTAAAGCCAAAGACTTACAGTGCTATCAAAATAACCAGGTGACATTTAAACCAGAGGCAGAAGTATGGAAAGATCAAGAAAGGGAACACTAACAACACCTGAACAGTCTTTCATTATTGCAGAGTGCCAGTGAACAGCCTAAAAATGTACTGAAGAAGGGTTTAGCGAGTGGCTCAGATCCATGGACTGTTCAAACCTCCTGATGGGCCAGTAACATTTATCTGTGCAACTGTTTTAACCCAATTTCATATGTTTTCCTACTCAGGCAATTTTTCCACTAGTCAAAGTAGCTTGAAGTCTCTGGTAAGCTTATCCTGGGGAGAATTCATACCAACAACCTGACTTCTACGTAAGGGATATTATTTGCAAGATGTTCATCACTAAGTCACTGGAGGCATTTGACTGCCTTCCTGCAGTGTGAACGACATCAAGGTAAATTGCTCCAGCAGTTAACCGGGTCTACATTCTGGAGCCGGGCACACACAGCTGTTATGAAGCAAGAGCAGAAACACTAACTGAAAAAGTCCAGAAGCTTGCATTCTTCAGTCCAAAGCAAACACAGCTAGACAGATCTTGCAGGGTGTATTTACAAACTGAGCCCTGCAGTTCATTTTGGTGAGGCTCAGAGCAAACCGTCCTCCTGGAGGTTCAGCTGCAGTCCAGACAAACTGGTGGAGGGAGCCTGTCTTAACTGCTGAGCAGATTGATGCACTGCCTGCAGCTGCATGTCAGTGGTGGGTAAAGCTAGATGTAGCACGCTCAGTTATATGCGCAATTCTTTATGTCCCCGTGTGACCATTTTTTCTGGATGAAAGACACAATCCAGGAAGGCAACGTTCTTGGAAAACCCAAATGGACACACAGCTGGCATCATCAGGATTTAACTGAAAGCCTGTTTGCTCTATGAATGTCCTTACTTAGCTCTTATTTCTGCTCCATTTATATGCGTGGTTATCTGAATAACCCATGGTCTCACCAGCTTTGCCAGCGTCCATACTTAAACAGACCTTCAAGCATTTTTGTTCACTCTCTTATTAAAACCAAATCAGTCAGACATGTTTCAATTTACCATTAAAAACATTTAATTAAACTTGTTTTTTTGGATTATACAGGATATGCCTTAATTTTCTTCTTTCACAAAACTCTCTAACGGCCAGCAAAAGCTCTTTTTATAGCTTCACTGCATCAAGTCTCTATTAACACTGGCAGAAAGCAAAAACTACCTGTAGTTGCTGGGTGGCTGAACAAACACAAGGCCTGCAGAGGAAGGGAGTCCCATTCTCTCTCCTTGGAAGCAACTTATTTTTCAAACAAGCTACACTGAACAAGGTGCAAATAAATACACAATGCATCTAAAACAAGCAGCTTTTACTTCAAGGACAGGCTAACTCAGCAGAGTCTAATTTATAAGATGCTTTCTAATGGAGAGTGGGGTTTCTTAGACATTTGTGCTAGCATGGGCAACTGGTGCTGCCTTAGGGGGGGGCATATTCCCCCCCCTCCCCCCACAGAACCAGTCCTGCTGACCGGGGGGGGGGGGGGGGGGGGCCCGCGGCTCTTCTCCCCAGCTCGGCCCTGCCTCAGTTCCCCCCCCCACAACCCCCCCCGGGGGGGGGGGGGGGGGGGGGGGGTGTCCCCTGTGGGCAATCCTGCAATGGCCCATCGCTAGGATCACTGCAGCCACTTCCGGGAGTGACTGCGGTCGCTTCTGAGAGCAAGTGCTGGCCGATTGCTACAGCCACTCCCAGAAGCAGCTGCAGTGATCGGCCGGCACTTGCAGGGGAGGCACTGACACTCCCGCCTGACCCCCCTGCCTGTCGCCTCAGTGGTGAGTATGGCCAGTCAGGGGGTGCACCAGCGCTCTCCAGGGGTGCATGTGCACCCCCTACACATCACCACTGTGTGCGAGTGAGAATGTACTGAAGGAAAAGTGAAAAATCTGTATGGATGGAGGGGCAAAGGCAGTACTGAGCTGGCTCTGGGGAACATAAAGGTGTAAAGGAAGGTAGGGCCTGGAGGCTATATTAAGTGCAGAGCTAGAGCAGCCACAGGACATTGGGGAATCACCAAGGAGGAGGGCAAAAGAGGGCAAAGGGAACACAAGGAAGATAAGGGAAAAAACTAGGGAACTGTTTAGAATACAAGAACAGATCCTCAAACCTTCACTGGCAATATAAAGAGGCTGCAATGCTGGTTTAAACCCTCAGCCAAGAAGCCTTGGCTAGTCAACCGGGCACAGTCTCTTACATTCTTTCCTTTACAACAGAAGACATGGTGCGAGTATCTATGCAATATACATTCCTAATTACCACAACAACTCCTTGGATCCTGGAGCTACTCTGAATTACACCAAACATGAGCCTCTGTACTGGTGAAATGCAGAAATAACGTTACTCTTGTTTGCCTCTCCTGGCTTCGAGGGACCCAGTTCAACTGGACCATAGACAGACTCTCCACATGGCTTAAGCAATAGCCATGGGGCTGGGGCTGCTCAACCAGGGTGGGCCGGGGTGTGGGACGGAGCCATGAGCAGTTGGTTCGAAGGTGGCGGGGGATGCTCCCTGTCACTGTGCATACCCCCTGGGGAGACATGGGGGGGATGTATCCCCTGGATTTGTGCGTGGGTCAAGGGCAGGCTGCCAGCTGCAGGCTTGGGTGCTGCGTCGGACTCTTCCTGGCAGGGGGCTGGGCCAGGGCTGGGCAGTGGCAGCACTGAGTGGGATACAGCCACCCCAAAATTCGCCAAAGCCCTGCCATAGCTTCCTCTCCCAGTGCCTGCACCACCGTATTGCCCCTCCCCCCCCTCCTCCCCCCCCCCCCCCCCCCTGCCGAGAAAAGGCCAGTGCAGCCCTGGCCCTGAGCCCGCAGCCCGCCCACACCCCATGCACAAATGCAGGGGACACGTGCCCCCATGCTTGCCCAGGGGTGTGCGCAGCAGCCAGGAGCTGTCCTCCCCACCCCCCCCAACCCTCCGCACCTCCCAGACAAGCTGCCTGTGGCTCTGTCCTGCATCCTGGCCCAGCCTCACTCCCTCCCTCACTATGAGGGGCCTCTGCACCCCCAACCCTTCTCCCCACAGACTTACCGACAGGATGCTGCTCTCCAAGTTGCCAGGCTACAATCCTGACTACGTGCGTGCTGCAGCTATGCACATACAAGCAGCATTTATCAGTGACATTATTGGCTACACCAACCAAAAAAAGCTATTTGCTGATAATGCCAATTTTC